GAATGAAGTATACCATAGATGACCATCGGATGTCATCTACAGATCGCATAATGATATGAAGGGAAGGAAGTCGGAGGTTATGGACAGGCACTCATCTTTGTTGTTCATAGCTGGATTCTTCACTGAAATCCAGAACGCTTCTAAGGCTTTCCTAGCCGAGGTTTCCTTTTCGTAAGTCAAGATTTTACATCTGATATCAAAGTCATCTCCACCATGCGTTTCAATTCTATGCCTGCCCAGAGGTGATAACTGATTTTACGCCTTTTATCTGTCAAGTGTTCGTTTATGCGAGTGCCGCCTAATGGTCTTCCTGTCTCTCCAATGTAGAGTGCATTACAGCTAAGACATTCAATTTGATAAATCACTCCCACTTTAGCACAATCGCCTACCTTACCGTGCGGGCATACTACGCAGCATTGCTTCAACATACAGTATCGATCATACAATCTATTTCTAACTAACTGCTTTTTGATGTTGCCGTTCGGAATGCACACTAAAGCAACATCATCTTGCAGTTCTGCGCGTTGTATGCATTTTCGAAAAGCCGCACTGACGCTGTCAGAGATAAACGGAAGGCATAGTGGAAGCTTATTATCGTTATGAACGTTGTTACCATTTCTAAGATGTTGACTATGTAGTACAGAATGGTACCCATTGCTGCAAGCAATCTGTGACGCTAAATCTCGTGACTCGCAACGTTCTCGCTCTCCAGAGCACATCTGCATGGCTGTTCTGAACATGTTTCCAATGACAGCTCTCTTCACGGATGCTGGATGTGCGGATTTTATATTTATAAGGATGTTCTTGGAGCTTTCTTTACGGAGCCATTTCACGCTAACAATGCCCTTGGACAACTTCTCTTGCGCGTTGAGATAGGGTAGCCACCCGTTATCTGGTGCTTCTCGAGTGAGCTTTATATACTGCGATTGCTGATTGAAAAGGTCGAAACACATGTCCATTTCAGACTGCGTGGAGGTGACAATTTATTTATTTATTTATTTATTAATACACTTGAAGTGTGCCGAAGAAAAAGGAACTCAAGTAAATAGGGTACCAGCTAGTCTCAGAATTCAGGCAGATAAAAGACATGGAAGAAAACAATTACAAATCAAAACTCAAGATCATTAAGATATAAATCAGTATTGGCTTGTCAAATGGCATTTGAAGTCACAGAATAAGTCCTAAAACCTCGCTTCCTCTAAAAATTGTAGTGGCCCCCTTTTTGTTTTGCCAGGGAGCCTGCGGGCAAAGGCTAGCTGACTAGGCCCAAACAAGTTCCATTTTAGGGAAGAGCAAGGTTATTGAACAAAGAATTGAGTAAACTACTCTGGGAATTCATTTGCGGATAGATTTGTTTATAAGAAGATGTGATCGCGATGCTATCTAGTGTGTTTTCGGACGGGAATGGTATGAAGATGATTTCCTGTTAGATGAGACGAGCTGGTTTATCATTATGAACTAATAGATTTAGTAGTATTAATGAATTGGAACGTGAGTAGTGGTCTTTCTGTCTCATTAGGTTGATCATGTAAAAGTATGGAAAGGGCGGCGTTTATTGATTGAGATTGGTTGAGCTGATGGAGTAGGCTGGTTGAACAACACTGGATGGTACATTTGTACGGGATACGTCTAAAAATCACAGATATCAAGAATCTGGAGCACATTTACATTCTGCAATTTTCTTCGAAAAATTATAGAATTTTCACTTGCGATGATAAAATCAGGAAGTGACGAAAACCATCTACACACTCGATAGGCAAAAGAGTTAAAAGTCATAAGAGGTCGTTTTATTCCTATCTTACGATAATATAGTCCAAACCCACCTGACATAATAATAATGACATAATATAGTCCTAACCTACAATACAGCAATCATCGATGTAACGGCAGTACATCAGCGGCATACGAGCTAATACCGGTTCTTCAATTTTGCTCATAAAGCAAATGGCGAGCACTGGCGCTAATCTTTGACCCATAGCTAAGCCGCGTATCTGGGAGTAATAGGTCCCAGACCATCTAAAGATGTTGCACTTCAAACATTCGCTGACTAGGGTCATGATTCGCGCTTTGCCCAGTCCAAAGATATTCATAGTACCACCGTATTTATCCAACATCTCCGATAGAGCCTGCAAGGCTTGCTCATTCTGCACATTGGTATAGAGTGAGATCACGTCAAATGACTCGATCACTGCGCTCGAATCAAACCTAGCGCTCTGGAGTTGTTTGATAAATTCATGCGAGCTGGACAAATGTGCCGGTATCTTTGATAGCAGCTGGCTCACTATTTTGTTCAAGAACCACGAGATTCTGTCGGTAGGGCCGCCTACACAACTGATTATTGATCTAATTTTGTAAGTTTCCTCTGACATTGAGTTCATGTCCCGTAAAGAAAGCTTGTGCGTTTTGAGAAGGCTGTAAAACACTGGACAACTCGGACTCCTCAATTTCAATCTGCTTATAAATCTATCCTCTAGTCCGGCAGATTTGCCTATTGCCGTCCAAGTGTCATTCAGTTTCTTGCATTGTGACTGGAATTCTTTCTCAGAGACTACTCTGTACGTTGCAGAGTCGGCTAGATGGGCTGTTGTTATGCGGCGGTCTAACTCTTGGGGCATTACCACAAACTCGCCACCTTTATCGCTTACGGACAATCGTACTGAACCGTTTGAAACGAGTTCACGCATCTCTTTGAACCCCTGCCATTGATTGCGTGTCAGGTTGCTCTGATGCTGTCGCTTTGCTCTGTTTAGAACTTCTAAAACACCTGAGCATAAGAGACGGAGCATAAGAGATGTCTACTTCAAGAACGGGTCCGGGTTGTCTGTAAAACGATGGTGGGAATGGAATTGTTGGTAAAAAGCTTTGAGAGTTGTTGAGTGAGTACTCTGCGTTGATACCACTGCTT